TTAGAGTAAAAAAAAAAAAAAAAGACTATACTGTTAGATTTAAACAACTTCATCCTTTTTCAGATTTAGTAGTAAAAATGAGCAATCTGTCAGTGGCGCCCCTCTAAACATCCGCGTCCTATCGAAGATGGACTACGGGCGTTAAATCAGAGGTCTTTTCTCTAAAAGAGTGCTTGTCTGCTGTGTTATAATAATCAGCGTCCACTTTAGCCATATTCTTAGTACGGCTAAAATGTTTGTATCGCCCACCTACATGTGTTTCCAAGCGCAGAAGAAAATAACACCCTCCACCCACCAAAAGTAACCAAAAACACCCACGTGTAGGCAATATCGCCAGGTTGGCAAGCACTGCTCTAACATTACCCCGCCATTTTATAATGTGCGTTGAAACAATACCATACGTTATGCACGCGCGCGAGGATTAATCAAGTAAAAGTAATTTACTCCTCAGTCGCCAATGCGGTTGTGGTTTATGTGCCGAGTAGGATTGGCATGGTGCATGGGGCAGAACAGGCCGCCCTAGAGTGTTACATGTATTGTGAAGTCACATGAGCTTTTTTTAGCTTTAGTAGAGGTTTTACGTCCCTCGCAACTGCATAATAAGGTCATATGAGCGCCAGAAGATTTAGGTGTTACAAGAGAGTAACAAAACATAAAAAAGAACGAGGGGAGATAAGGACGGTAGATGTTTGATAGGAAAGAAGAAGCAAACCACACCAGAGCGCCCGCCAACCACCCACACACGAGCTTTTCATCTCAAGGGGGTCATCATCACCCAGTGCCAGATCTGCGACAGACATCGGCGATCATGTCTCTCCATTCATTCCTCTGCTCGGATGCTCTCAAAAAAGCTACGTCTCCCTGATCTTTCCCCGTCACCCATTTGTTTAGGTTACCCAAGTATGTGTTTCTGGGCCTTCCCCTGCCCTCAAGTTTGCCAGTGAGAGCTAGGTGTTCAAGACCCTTAAGTCTACTTATGTGTCCCAAAAACTGCATTTGTCGTCTCCTGATTGTTTTTAACATTGAGCGTCCCACGTGGGCTTCATCAAGCACTACCTCATTTGATTTCTTTTCCTTCCACGATACTCTTAGGGGGTATAAGTCCATAAATAAGTGATATCCTTTCAAAGATTCACACTCACACCTGAATAACCAGCACAGAAAATAAGGGTTTCTTGTGCGCTCCCAATACAAACTAATGTACATTGTACAGGCACGACGTCTAAGCAGCTGGTGTTCCAAGGGCCACAACCACGATTAACATGCTTTTACTCCAAGTACATTCTGATGTCGTTTGGGTTAAACGCCCATTTCAGCTAATTGTCAGAGTAAAAGAGAGAGAGAGAGAGAGAGAGAGAGAGAGAGAGAGAGAGAGAGAGAGAGACAGACAGACAGACAGACAGAGAGACAGAGACAGACAGAGTGAGAAAGAGAGAGAGAGAGAATGAAATGCGTTGATATGCTTTAGTAGGTATTTTTGAGAGAAAGAGAGAGAATATAAGGTGTTGATATGATACTGAGTTGTGAGATAAACACCCACACAAACACAAACGAGAAGTAAAAAAGAAAATCGACAGATATAGATCTAAATACCACAAACACACACACGCAATTAAAACAAGCTCACTAAAAACAACACAACTTTTGTCTTCCAGTCATTTATTGCTCTGATGATATACAGAACATGAAGAAAACATATACACAAACCGACAAATTAAAAAAAACAACAACAGCACCTTGAGAGCGCCTATCCAACAGTTAAACCATCCATAATCATCATAATAGTCTGCAACTTGAAAAAAGAAAAGCACAGGCATTAAATACACCAATAAATTCGCTGCAGTATGCAATGTCCATTAACTCCTGTCAGCCAGAATTGAATTCATGAAGTTTCCAAAACATGGTAGAATTTGCACAAATTTTTCTTCCACCAACAATTTTGGACCTAGATCTACCTCGTTCATCGTGCCAAGAAGTTAACCATTAGCAACACCAGGGAAGTGGTTAGCGAGCTTAAGAGCAGAAAAGCAGATGTGTTGTAGATGAATTTGATCCACAATCTTGATTTGGAAAGTGACTTGATTCTAGATCCAAAACTGTCAGTGATACAGTGTGCTGCAACCACAAAAATACGCATTTAAGCATTGAATTCTCATTAAAAAAGTATCAACATATATATTTTTAACTAGACCAACATTATAAACATGGATTTGGATGAATGGACGGAAATGTGTATTTAATTAAGGGAAGTGGAAACAACACACTTTGTGTCGTTCTAGCAGAGATGGGAGTAGATGGAAACGATGCGGAGCCTGTCGTTCTGGCCGATAGGAGTTAACACAATTATTATTTATTTATCTGACATTATCCTCTGCTTTGTATGAACAATGTTATGTTATATGCTTTTTATTGAATGGTATAAATGATAGACAGCTGAAGTTAAAATTTTAATGAAGGCAAATCAAATCTTTTAATGCAGTTTGAACCCACACAGAGGCAACAACATACAATCAAGATGATTTATTCTTATTTCCTACTATGCCCTCAGCATTCTGCCTGCTATATATAAACTAATTTCCCACCACTGACAAGCAAAATGTCCCTATGGATGTGTTGGAACAGGTAGGAGTATCACTGAACCTTCCACCATGGACATTTTTATTTTCATATTTTTGTTCCAAAGTAACAGTGTAAATTATTCAAGACCCTCCAAATCTTTTCACCAAATCAAGACTGACCGAAAATTTTTTGCCTACAACCACACAATTCAGACCATTTACTAGGCAGGCTATGAAAAAAAAATTAACATTAAAACAGAATACTTCAAGCACAAGCAGAAAGCTCAAAGGTCATTCCTAACTAATCGCTACCTTAGAATTACAAAGTTCTACCTGACATTTTTGGCTGTTTTGAGTTACTAAGACCACGGGGTCAGAAACCAGATATTCTATCTGTCTATCAAAATCAAAACATTATTCCGAGTAGTTATCAAAATATTCAAAGAGCTGCTTTTGAAAAAGCTTGACATGTGAATTTAAAAATGGACATCAAATTTCTCAAAACTATGGACAGAGTAGATAGAACTTTGTAATTCTAAGGTAGCGAAATACAAGATAAAATGATTTTTTAAAACAATTTTTTCTAGAACAAATTCTGTTGTATACAAAATACGCCAAACAAGACGGGACACTGTTAATGACAAAACAAAAGTGATTGCAAATACAGACAAGAAAAATATGCACAAGAAAATCATTACAATAGTCCAAGTCAAGGGGAGAAAAAAAAAAAAACTTCCAATATCCAGAGATGATGGTAATTAGATCATGGGCAGAAAAGCCTCATTTTTAGAAACCCCTCTTCCTGAAAGTCACTATCCTTGAAAGGACCATGTGAAGTGAGTTTAAAAAGCTCAAGTCATTTAAGTTTTGGATTAAAGAGATTATATCTAAATTTTGGTTCGAACTTAATATATTCTTTATATGTTACTATTGCATTTGTAAAGCACTCAGAGCCTGTGACTTTAATCAGGGTTGAGGGCTATATAAATGTTACATTTAATTCACACACAAAAATGCGCCATAGCTCATTATATATATATATATATATATATATTATGGAAGCTGCAAAACAGATTACGGCTAATTTGAGTTGGCAAAAGCATTGTCTACATTGACTGCTCAGTGTAAGACTGTTGAATGCCACTTTTCAAACTGGTGTTTGGTATACTCTATCAACCACAACATTGTCTGACATTAAAATTACACTTTCATTAAATACCTGAGCATCATTGATTTGGAATTCAAAGAGGTAGTTACATCTATATATAAATAAGGAAAGAAATCAAAACCACAACATTCACTTTCACAACCCCACGCCAATTTGCTACTTGAGCCAAAGAGAAATAAAAAGGAACTGGAATAATAACCTTGCCCCCCCCCCCCCCCACCATCCTGATTAATACCACTCTTAAAAAACACAAAAGAGCCCCTGCGGCAAAATCCTAGCAATAACATCTTAGTAAAGCACTACACATCTCTCATAAATAACTACCACTATTTATCAATCAAGCATTATGAGTATAATTTTCTTCGTTGCTACAACACAAGACCTGACAGCATCATCATCTACATTTATTATATATTTGAGAAAGTTCGTCCCTTTGGTCGCCTAAAACTTCCAAACCACTTAACTTTCGAACTTGAAAAAATTAATGGTGGTTCAGAATCATTTAAAAGGTGCAGTTATTTATATTAAGGAGTCTAAGTCACTGTAGTTAAATTTTCAGTTCTTCATTAGTTTCGTTTAGCTCTAATCTTGGGAAAATCTGTTTTCTAAGATGCCATTGTACACAAGTGAGGCTTCCATTCACAAGCAGTGCGCACTGATTGCACAATGACTTGACGATCGATTCTTTTGAGTCTGTTCATCGAGCGGGTACCCAGCTAGTCTATTATCATTTCCCAACTGTCTTCCTCACTCATGTCTTCTCCCCACAGCAAGACAACAGCTACACCAGCAGAAACCAGTGTAACTGGCTTACAAACATCCACATAAAATTGAAAGTACTAGATGAGAAAATCCAAAAGTTAAAGCAAAGAAGTCATAGGAAGCAGCCTTTAAAAAAACACCATAAAAGCTCACAATGTTTGATTTTGACAGAGGAGCAGGAAGAGATACACAATTTGAACACACACACAGTGGAAAATTTCCATCTTGGACAATAAAGTATCCTCTTATCTTATCTTAGTGTTTGTGATAGCACTCAGCTGATCTATGCAGCACTGAGACTCTTCACAATCATGAAAATAGAAAACAAAGCTCCTGGAACATTTGGACGGATAATGAGAATTCTAAAAAGGGACAGCGGGTGATACGGTACAATAAATAAACTGTTCATTTTGCCATTAAAGCTTTTTACGAAACATTTTTGTTAACTCTTTCAAATTCAATAAATTAAACAACAGAGTGCTTTGTTACAACGCCTTTTCCCTTCTTCAAAGAAACAAGACTATGAAGAGAGCAAGAGGTTGGGGTTCAAAATGTGTCTTTGAGCCTGTTTTCAAATTTATCCGTCACACAACTGCAGTATACACCAAAAAAAAAAAAAAAAAAAATTCCTAAGAAATGTGTCAAAATACAAATATGATACTGAACAGTGACTGGAAAAAAAAAATAAATCAAAATACAAAATGCCATAAAACCAAGGCCATCATCATACTTGGTGGTGGCAAATATGGGCACATTAAAAAGTTCAAGTACCACAAGACAAAAAAAGAATACTGAACGGTAAAAAATTGTTTTATATATATCTCAAATCACAGAGCTTGAGCACCTATTTCACAATGTTAATTTAAAAAACTATTTTGTTTAAAGCACCAGGAGTGAGATTCGACACATTAAGTATATAAAGTGTGAGACAATTTTGATTTGAAAAATAATTTTATGGACAAACATCAAATTAATAAGAGCACAAATGACAAGGTTTCAGTGGAAAAATATAGCACAATTTATATGGAATGCCTTTTCACCCATTCTTCAATTGCTATCCGACTGTACATTAGAAAAAAGGCATCCGCTTGCCAAAGAAAATCTTCAGTTTCATGGACACTCACAACGCTTGACTATTGTACATGTATTGCATGTGTATTGTGTATAAATACCCGTATTTATCAGAAACATAGGAGAAATCCAACACAATGGACAAAGTAACACATCGCCATCATGAGACTAGTTTACCCGTGACAAGTGGAATCAGGAGAATCTTACGCATGAAACTTTAAAAAACTATCTTGTTAAAGCACCAGGAGGGAGATTCGACACAATAAGTGTATAATAGAATAAAGTCTGAGACAATTTTGATTACAAAAATAATTTTATGGACAAATCTCAAATTAAAAAGGGCACAAATGACAAGGTTTCAGTGGAAAAATATGTTACTTAAAATAGCAACAAATATGGAATGCCTTATCACCCATTCAGTTCAATAGGTACAGAGGATGAAAAACAAAAATTGTTGGGACGGACAAACATACCAGATCATAAAGTAGTGTACACACACTGACATCTCTGACCGCGTGAGTACGTATGTTGTATTCCACACGAGGACAAGACTCTCTTAACTCAAAACTGAGTTCTGTGACAACCAAACAGGTGCCAACTGGCTATGAAAAAACAAGCTTGAACTGCGTAGAAACGCAGGCAGGGACTCAACGGATATTTGTCTAATTAATGCACCTTGTATAGAGACTATTTGCATTTAAACACAATGAATGCACATAGAGATTAAAATATAAATAAATGCATAAAAACAGGAATACACTACATTTACAACAAATAAGAAAACCGGATTTCTGGATGTATCAGGAAATTCGACACCTTTGCAATAATAGGTATCAGCTTTCCTCCAAAACTTCAAGTCCCACAAGACTCCAAATCTCACCACCTTACCCATGTCAAAATAATATTCCAAAAACCCTCTCAAGATCTACCCCATGCTCAAGTTCTTATTTGATACTCTCAAATAAGTTTGTTCCAGACTTCTTTGAGCTCATCAGGACAAATCAGGACCAAAAAAACCCACTGGTGCACATGTGTGTGCGTAAGGGGAAGGGTGCTCACAACTCTCCTGGCATCACATTATACATTTGATGTCTAGCAATATTTCTTGAACATTATCATTTGCCGGACTCTAGTGTTTCTTTTGACCTCGTCAATCGTATTTGGTGTGCTCGCCAAGATAAGTCAATAGTCCTTCAGCTCAGAGTATTATCTACAACATTAATCCTGCAAGGAAGACTTCACATTTGACTCTGGGGACAGGGGTCCATTGACCCTAATGATAACTAACCCACACTCTGGGTGCATGTCCACAAAAAAAACCTAAACAAATATTTCAATAATGCTTTTCTCAAGGTCATCATCAGTATAAATAAACCTCAAGGACAATAGACAAAAGTAAATAGGCCAGCCAGATTTTAACTTTTCCAGTTCATAAAATACTAAGTCTTTATACAAGGGGCAAAAGCTATATAATGATTAGCTTTACAACATTGCACCATTTAGTATAGCACGAGATGCAAGTTGATGAGTACATTATGCGCTAAAGTCCACCTCCTGTGATAAAGTGGAAATAGATTTAGCGACCGCTGGGCTTTGAATAGAATCAGCAATATCTCCACTCCATACCCTTATTTTTTCTTGTCAATAAGCTGTTTGAATGTTCTAATGCCAGAAGGCCAATTGTACCTATAAAAGTTTTTGTGTGTGCTATTTTCAAATTTAGAATTTGAATTTACAATACAAAATATTTCTCAAGCAAATGCAATCTGTGTCACAGATTAAAAAACAGCAATTTTTACGATTAAATGTTCAAAATTTTGGGCTTAGCACATCTGAACAACAGACCAGCATATATTGCTCACCCATTATATCTAATGTTAGAACAAACTAAAATGTTGCTAGACACAGATCAAAGGTTTTTGAAGGTATTGTGAGTCCTCTCTACTGCAAGCTGTGACATGACTATAAAAACGAACTATTCCACAGCAGTACGCAGCTACTCCGTGAATGCACAGCTGCCCTTTTTAGACCCAGTGGAAACGCACAAGCAAGGACTAAAAAAATGTACAGGTCTGCCTATAACATCTTATATCAAGAAGTCAGGCAAAATCCAGACAATTTCAGAAATCCTGACTTCCTGATTTACCCAGATAATCAAGACCTCTGTGAGCTGAAGATGTCCGAATGTCAGAGCTGTTCACATGAAACTTCATAGAAATCCACAGTAGCAAGACCACAAAGCCCATTTGCTCCTGTATGGTCCGGTATAATATCCACAGAACAAGAGATACTGGAAGAAACGGATGGGCACAGAAGAATGATATCCTGGATGTGAAAATTCCTGAACTTCTGGCAAAAGTTCAGCCAGATATTATGTTCAGCTTTCATCCTGTCTTTCTCGCAACAAGAAATTCAATTTCAGTCCTTGAATTGAAAATACACAACAAATAAAATAACTCCATAACCCAGAACAGCATGATGTCTTTCCAGGAATCCAGGAAAAGGGGCACAACTCCAAGATAATCCACTCCAACAAGATAATCCAAGAAAACTCCGGAATGAGTAGCACTTGGCACGTATACAGCATACATGGCCTCGATAATGTTGACAAACACGTCAGAGTCTCTGAGTGTGCTTCCATGGCTGGTCAGACAGCAGGACCAGCCAGGTAGAAGTGCAAGGACATTAGGCCACGGTTCACAGAAGTTGGCCTGATGACGTCTTAGGACAAAAGGTCTGCTGGACACAATTCTGAAGGCTGTGTATAAAGATACCTGAAAAAAAAATTATATGAAAAAGTCTTAGAGTTTGAGTAAAGAGAAAAAAGAAGCAGCACATTGACACATTAATGGTCATTTAGTACAGGCAAGAAGGAAGACGGATAAACAGAAACAATAGAGGGAAAGAAAAGAATTAGAACTTACCAGTGGCGCCCCCCAACCACTCGCACTAAAGTCTTGTAAGCTGACCGTTTAACCCTATCCGTACGCCCTGGGGTCATTCTGTACCCCCGGGGTTGTATTCTTCACATTTTAGAATACTTCTAGTACGAAGATCTCTTTGAAACTTTCAGTATTTCTCAAAAAATCATTTTCACAGACAGTTATGCAAAGCATGCGGATCGGACAAACGAGTAAATTTCCTCACTTTCAAATTTCCCACATCGTATGGATACGATAGTAAAACATGACGTACGGATAGGGTTAACATAATGATATACATACTGTTCACATAAATCAGCAGGACACTAGGAAATAAAAAAACCAATTTAATCAATTGAATGGATAAGAAAAAGGGTAAAGGGAATGACCCGGAGTTGTTCAAGGATAAAACAAAATATATGCATGGATAAAACAATTGGAAGAGTAAAGGGAATGGAGAGGGGAGCCAAAATACAAAACAATGCTGCACCTTGTTTACCTGCCACAAGGTTACTCTCCTTAACATAAAAGGTTAATCTAGTATAGTATAACTGATTAACGGTGCTATCAACATAGGTCATGCAAGGGTTATGAAACTGTATCTTTAATCCGATCAAAAATTATTGCCAAGTATGTTTCATTTTCCAATTCAAGTTATAAAACTTACACATACCTTTTTAGCACCTTAATTTCGTTTCCTAGGCCAATTTCTCAGATAAAAATAATAATCCTTTCTGGGCCAATGGTGTCAAATAAATCATTTATTCAAGTATAGTTGTGATTTTCAAAACTTTTATTTATAATTGGTTTAGTGAGATGTCACAGAGATTCCTGAACTTGAAAGAATACAGAAAACGATACACAACAAGAGAATCTCGTACACGTAGATTACACCTTGAAAAAGTAAACAAATGACACTGTTCAGTGCCAGTATGCTCCTCCCACCCACTGTAACATACCTCTAGCTGTCTCCACAGTTTCGTCTACACGCCATACATAGAGCGAGTGTTCTCCCTGCACGCCTTCAGCACCTCGTCCACGTTCACTCCCTGCAGCTTGGCCACCATCTCAGCGGTGAACAGAGCAAAACCAGGATGGGAGAACTGAGGAGAACCCTGGACAAAGGAAAACAATGGACAGCTGGTTAATATTAATAATTAGCATTTGTATAGCGCATATCCCCGCTCGACAGCAAGCTCTGCACGTTTTACACACCATATTATTACCCCAGCAGACCATAGAACACTCAGAAACATTCTCAGCTTCCCGGGAAGCATACAGAAAATGTTAACACTTAGCTTAGTCCCCTCAGCTTCACCACTGTTCATATTCCCTAATTCCTGAATTGGTTTAGTTTTAGTAAGAATTTAATGCCATTTGTGATACAAATAGGTCATATAAGTGCCGAAGATTAAAGATGTTACTAGAGAGTAAAATACAAAGAAAAAAAAGTAAAAGTAAAAGAAATAAGGGACAATTGACCTTTGATAAGAAAGAAGGACAAATCACATGAGACCACCCACTTTCTGAATTACTGGCAAAAATAAAGGAAAATATGAGTGGCAACAGGTACAACAAAACAAAAGAAAATCACAAGAGATACTCCACTAATCCAAATTGATTCTATGAACTTCAAAATATAAATGGAAGAAGTAAAATAATGTCACATTTGGTACATATGAATTTTTGTCCCAATCTTGAACAGGAAACACGGATAATTTGTTTCATGAGAACAAGCATAACATCAAAATAATGACTAATTTGGGTAGACAAGATTTCTGGCTAGTGGCACTCTGTAATCATTCCTGCACGTGAAATTGTCTACCTGTATGATACAGTAAGGGAGCAATTAGTATACAGGAAACTGGCGAAAGGTGAAAGGGAATGGATCTGGGAACAAAACAATACAGTCGGAGGAGTCACAAGACTGACCAGACCGTACACAAAATCAATTATTGTGGCTCATCAGATTTTAGTTTTAGTATGTGTTTTACAGAACTCACAACACAATAAGGGGAAAAAGTGCCAAAGTTTTAGTTTTTGTTTTAGTAAGGTTTTACGGCGCTCACAACTGCAGAAGGCCACATGAGCGCCAAGGGGGGATGTCAACAGAGAAGTCCAAACGAGGAATCAGGCTTATTCTGCTCACTTAAACTATCAAGGCACCCCGGAAATAGCAGTTCACAAGAGAGTGACAAACATACAAAAGTAGTCGAGGAAAAATGATAGTAAGGATGAGGAAAGAAAAGGCAGCAGTTCCCCCTATGTTGTTCCGGCACAGTATGAGCATGCCATTGATAAATCAGCCCATTTACAAAATTCTACCGTGCATAAGAATATGTTAATATCTCCCCTTTGGGAATGGCCTAAAGACAACTTCAGTCAGTAGCACTGCCCTGAGGGAGCCTAAGTTTGAAGGTGATACTAAATAGTAACACACAAAGAAAAGACAAAGGAGAGACAAGGATGACAGACGTTTGATAGGCGCAAACCACAAAGTCAGAGCACCCGCTAACCACGAACTAACCAGAAGAACAGGGTATGAGGTGTTTGAGGGTTAAAATAACATACATTATGCGCGGTGCCTGGGACAAAATATGGAGCATCTGTCTCCAGCAGAAGTCTGTTCAATGGCAGATTTGTGGCCGTGTCGATGGCGCTGGTGGCAGTCTTGTAGGAGATGAGAGGGGTCAGACCCAGCCACAGGTTGGGGAACATGTTGAGCCAGCGCTGGGCGGTGGGCCAGTTGCGGGTGAAGCAGTGAGCATGGATCTTGTGCTCCCGAGGAACAATCTGGAAGGAAAAAAAACAGAAACAGAAATAAGAAGTGTAATTAGCACATATTGTAATGATAAGAGAAAAAAATAATTTAAACATTTGTGCCTGACTTCAAGGCTGCTATAGAACTTTTAAGACAACACAAAAACGCTTCTTGAGCCACAAATCAGAAAATGGAGTCGGCAGTTTAAAATAAAAATTGATGTACATTAGGGGCTTTGGTTCATTGATATTTCAACCCTAATGAGTCTTGTTTTCTTTAATCTTTAACAATTTGTTTGAACGTAAGTCACCCTATCAACACGTCTAGGGAAACTGGTTCCTGTCAGACATGTCACAGAAAGCATGGCAGAGGACAGGACAAGACACAAATATATGCATAACAAACGAGACAGAAACACACGCTGCAGAGGTTTCAGACACAGAATATTGCACTAATCTCAAACCTCTTTCATGATGCTCAGACAATCGTCATCCGCATCACGGCAGTGGATAACCAACGGCAGATTATGTTCGACGGCAATGTGCAACTGGACTCGAAAGACTTCTTTTTGCACAACCTTATGGCGGTCAAATCTGAAATACAAAAAGAATGTAACATTGCAGCCACAAATTCAGCACAGTAACATTTTTGTATCTAAAATGCCCTAGAACCAATAAATTTCCTTTCAAATAATATGAAATCACACCATCACGGTTGAAGAAACGCAAGTCTGTCTTCAGAGTAAAGTCCAACTCAAAACTAAAACAGTTGCGGGTATGAGAACTGGAAGAATAACGGAGAGTAACTTTGAAAGCAATATGTGGCTTCTGAAATACCAGGCAGACCATTTGACAGAAATAATTGCTGTCATGTACATAATATCAGATTTGTTGTGGAAAAATAATCGTCTTCACAAAACCAGTTGCATTAACGAAAAACTGAAGAAAGAACCATATTTCAGCCTCTCTTTAGCGGGGCCTACTTACAGCAGGGATACCGATGTCTGACTCCCTCACATTACTTTCAGTAGCTTACAGGAGTTCAATGCTATGTCGTATCAAAATCAGCTGTGACATATTTACCAATTATTGAACAATTCATAGGTCCTTAATCACTTAATCTGGGGCTCCACCTAATTCGACATAAAAAGGTTTCCTTGACTATTTTTTCCGAACAGAAAAAGTGAAGTCCACTCGTTAAATTTTATTATTTCATCATGCTTGTTATGAAAGATGGTAGAGTGCAAATGGAACTGTGCAAACTTATCAATCTGTTTCTCAAAAAAGGAATTTTTGCTGTTGTTCAACTTTCTTATATAAATGTTGTCATTTCTGAATTCTTAAATCCAGCATGTTATATATGAACTGAAGATTTTGGTGTTTTTTTTAAGGTTTGAGTAATGAGAAACAGATTGACACAGTAATGGTAATTAAATGCTGGAAAGACAGACAGAAACAACAGAGGGAAAGTAAAGAAGTAGAACCTACCAGTAGCGCCCTCCAACCACCCACTATGAAGATTTTAATAATATTTTAAAAAACTTGCAAATGTACAACAGCAAACAGAAAAAAAAGAGGACCAAATGGATCTCTAATAATTCAGCAAAAATCTTTTCTCCAAATTTCAGTCTATTCTTCTCGTCAGGACAAAGTCAATTCCTTGTTATTTTATTTCAAGATGATCCCATCAGACTGTGAATTCCTGTATAAAGATCTTACCCGCTAGAATAATCAAGACCAATTTCTCCTAAAGCCACTGTCTGTTTCAACGAGAGGAGCCTCTTCAAACCAATTTGGTGATTTGTCATAAACTCTGTGGCACTCTTCGGGTGGCACCCAAAGGCAAACCAGACACCTTCTTCATTCTGGAGAGCTCTTATAGTAGGGTACAACGAAGTGTCTGAAAAAAGAAATAGCATGCAAAGAAATGAACAAACTGACATAAGGGACTAGACAAAATAGTTTTCAATTGACCTTATGAAAATAATCATTTCAAATTTTGGGGAAAAGAAAAAAAAAGGTCAAATGTTGACCTTGGAAAAAGGTAAACAATAATGCATGAAGATTAATAGTTCAAAGCATAAATCAATTCATCATAATTAGCTTTCTATCCAAAGTCCAAAAAAAATAATTCATCAGCACGATCTAGACTTCCACTAAATATCATATGGATTAAGAAAGAAAAAAAAGAAAGAAATTTGATCATGAAAAAAGCAACCAGCCACAAATAAAATCTATCTTTAGCTTTTGACAAAAATCTTGGCCCGAATTTCAAAACCTGTTCTCACAAACACAAAGTAAATTCCCAGCAAACTTATTTCTAAAACGTCTCTCTTAACAGACACATGGGCCTGTAATGACGTGATTAAGCACAACAATGTGCTTTAAATCCTATATTCCATTACCTTTTAAAACTCAGTACCTACGCACATCACAAATGGACACATAAAAGAAAGTAGTATTGCCACAAGAAGTGACATAGTACAGGAATAGCGTTGTATATATACAGACAATTTTTTAACATCGCAGCAGTTTGTCAAAAACACATTTATAACCCCTTCCTGCCTGCCTGGCCCGATACTGTCATATGAGCACTTTGGTAAAATTGGGAGCAGGCCTGGCAGTGGAAGAGTTAAGTAGCATGGACAAGACTAAAAAACTCCACTGGAAAAACTAAAGGCGCTCACCTGTGTTGAGAAATGTTTTTGGATTACAAAAAACTGCCACACAGCCCTCATAATTCACAGGAAATGTGCTGGAGTGTTTCTCTCTGAACAACCCATAAGACGTATCCCTGTCCAGTCCCAATCGAGAGTACATAAAGTCTATGTGACAATGCGAGTCAATGAACTTGTGTTGGTACTTCTTGCTGCCTTCTACGAAAGCTGTCGCCCAGTCTTGAAAATCCGAAAACTTTGCGAAGGGTTGACACACTCGAGGAAAATCAATTCTGCGCCAGTTTGTTTCTGCCTGAGCTCGTCGCCTGCTGCCAGAAGAGGTCACAGAACCCTCAGACTCAGATTCCAATCGCTTCCCTAGGAAATAAAAGCAGCAATGGGACATTTGTACCAGAAATTGTTCCACAGAAAATATTCAGCTTCATACAATTTCCTTTTACAGTCAGAGAAAAAGGAAAGATTAAAGTAGACACAAACAACAACAACGAACATTACAAACCAAAAATAAGAAATACATGCAGCTAAGCACAGACTCTTAAAAGGAATCAAGTTACTCTATATTTATCAAATTTATCTCTGTGAGGCCAGCCAATGTTGTAAAATTCTGAGGTCAAAATTTAAGGCCAATAGGCATGACAAATATTGATTATGGTAATTTGTTTAGGACTTTTCATTTTTTGTTAAGCAAATAGGTGAGAGAAAGTGATTTCAGGTAGGCCAAAGTAGCCAGCTCTAAGCAATTTGCATATCATTTAAGTGTGAATTTGATCCTAATCCTAACCTATTAAATACTCCAGGTCGATGCCTTTTAGAAAGTTGTCAGAGTGAGGTGTCAGAGTGAGGTAAAGGCTGTACTTGCAGCACTTTATGGGATTTTGCATCATGATGAAAGTTATGTATGGATGGTCTCACATGCAAATATGCTAATAGCAAAAAATGCATAAATCCTGTCTAAAAATTACAATTCAAAAAATTGAAAAGAGGTCAATTACTGTCGATATTTATCTTTTTTTTGGTAAATGTTCTAATACAATTCCCTTGCCATATTAGAGTTAATATTTCACAGATGTGATACATAGCGGTTTTCTTTCCCCGAAAATTTGAAAACCAAGGAAGTATCTTCACTGGTGAGTACCCCATACTAAAATTTCGATTTTCGTAAAATTGTAAACAAAAATATATATGCAAATGTTTTATTCTTTAAACACTGTTTTAATCTCTCATAACATAGTCCAAGTGTAGAAAGTGTTTAAAAGAGCTTGAAAGAGTTTTATATAAGTGCAGGGAGGGTTTTTAATTATAAACCAGGTAAACGTCTTAATAAAAATATCATTTGAATGCCGCAGATTTTCAACTATTGCTGGAAGTACTGTAACTTGTAAGTTTAACACATTCAGGGGAATACTCTAATTTCCATTTATTCAACTTCAACAAAACCAAAAACTTACAAATTAAAGTCTCTAACTTTATCAAATAATTAGACCCTATAAAAGCAAGTAATTAAGGACAGATTTTCTATGTAGATACACGTACAAAACAGCACCCACCTGTGAGTGACCTGTTGAGAGAGTCTCTTCTCAGGTCAGATGAGTCATAAGTAGATGCATTCCTCACAGGATCAGATCTGCGTCGAGACTTTGAGTCCAAAAAGGAGCTCTGTTCCTGGCGTGCCACATTGTGTAAACCTTGAGTATTATCTCCTTCATTCTTACATGGAGGTGACAACGGGGATTGGGTAGCTAAACCCCAAGCACCCTTATAACCACAGCCAATAGGTGGAACCTCCTCTTGAGTAGTACGAGTGGAACCTATACGAGTCAAGGTTGGCATAAATTTGTGCCGCTCCGCTGGACTGGGAAGAGAAGTCGCCTCACGAGCAGCGGCGGGGAAAAGAGGGGTTACTTCACTTGAATGTAGGCCATCTTCGTCCTCCCTCTGATATGCCCTGACAGGCTTCTTGTTAACAATCTGAGACGTCGTGCCTTGACTCTTCGAAGACGGGGATGTGGTCCATTTATTTGACAACATTTCTTGGTTGAGGAAATAACTCACTGATCCTCGATAGTTGGCCTCTGCTTTTCTCTTGGCTTCCTGTTTGCTGGACTTAGATGGAGGCACTAAAGAGGTTTCCTCAGCAGAAAAGCTGCTGCCATTTTTGTCTGCTTGATTCCGGGACCGGCTGGAAGAACGACTTCTCTTGCTTGCTGATGAACAGGAAGACCGTCTGTCATTTTCCAGTGGGGTACTTTTAGCACTCACTTCTCTGAAAAGGGAAAAAAAAATTACAATAAGAACAAATTCGGCTCAAAGACACTGCATTCTTTCACAGAATGTGCATTAAAAACTTTTTAAAAACATTATACAACATCAAGCATAGAGAAAAACAAATATTCATGACAAGTCAGTGTGCAAAAGTTTTTTGCTGAGGACTTGGTTGTTGCAGCTGATGAATATATAGCAAGGCCAGATATAATGAACAATAACTGGGTTACGCAGGGATCTGCTACAGCAATTCCCCCAGCAAAGCGAGACAGAAAACCTGTCAGTACAAAGAAGAAGAAATCATAGGATAAAATTTTTGTACTAATGGTAATAGCAGGGTGTAAAAGATGACTATCCATTTATCAAGTGAATATATACACAAACTATGTAAACTTTTGTACAAACACCAGTACACAAATATTGTATCCCAAGTGAGAGAATATATACTTTTGAAAAACAACCATTACTGGTAGCATGAAACTGCAAAGAAAAGCGCACACATCTCCTCAACTGTAAACAGTGTCTTCAAAGAATTTTCTCTCTCAATTACTTCTAAACAGATTTTGATGCACAGATAGAGGGTTCAAACTGTACTACTGTACCCACTGCAAAAATACGAGATGCAGGTTTTCTGTTTTTGTATGGAGCAAATAGTCTAAAGACACACTATATGTCCAGTATGTCATAACCTCCATGGCGTATGTTGCCAGTTCAGCTCTCAACTTTTGTACCGACAGGTTTTCTATCTCGCTTTGCTGGGGGAATTTGCTATAAATAGCAGATCCCTCCATAACCCAATTATTGTTCATTATATCTGGCCTTGCTATATATTCATCAGCTGCAACAACCAAAAAGTAACACTTCAGAATATCTCTTCAACACAACAGGAGAATCCTATCATTGTGCTCTATGAAATTTCCAGTTTCTCCATTAAAGCTGTGATAGCTTATGAACTGGCCTGGCTAAGCCTTGGCGTTTCCCAAACCAAAGAACAAATTGTGACGACACATAAAAGGCTTTTTAATTTCTGGATTTATCTGGAAAATGGGCATCTCTGATTTACTTCAAATTAAAGAGAGAGCCCAACGATCATTACTAAATAAAGAAAAAACATACCTAGTATCAAATAAGGATTGCTGGGCTCCGATCGCACCATCATACTCAGGCTTAGGGCTGTATACATGCCTTCCTTCAACACCATCTTTCTCAGTCAGCTCTTCTGGGGGAGATGACGACATTCTCTGTCTTTCTGGATACCCTCCAGCTGGAAATTCACAAAAGAGAAAAAAAATTTACATTACTAAACAGAGAACAAAAAAAAATTATTTTTTTTAATTTTTACACACACTTAATACTTTATTATATAATTTTCAAAATTTTCAGAACAGGAAACCTAGTAAGAGTGAAAAAAACTATCCTGAGAAAATCTACAGCGCGTTTCTTTTCAGGTCACTCATGCAGTCTCCTTGAAGCACTTCAGAGCAGCTCTGTAGACAAAGGAAATTAGTTTAGCACTCAAATCATTTCTATAAATTTTCCCCACTTCAGTTGTGAAATAGTCGAACCCATCCCCACTTCGGTGGTAGTAAAATACAGTCAAACCCGCTCTAAAGACCACCTTATCCAAGACAATCACCTTTACAGAAGACCACTTTCCACCCCCTACCCTCCTCCCCAATTTTTGCTATATTATATATATAGATAATAAATGACACTGTCAAAGAGGACCATCTGTCTAAGATTACCATTTTTCCCATCCACAACAATGAGTGATCATCCCAAACAGGTTTGACTGTAATACCTTTGTACAATTAGAAAAACAGAAACAAAACACAACAAAATAATAATTTTTTTTAAAAACAAAACAAACGTGTGCATCATCAAAAGCAGACCGATGGTCTCTGGCACAAACCACATAAGTCCAGGATTAGTAACAGCAACTGAACCAAAAAACTGTCAAAATAATCAGCCTTTTTCTCCCTCACTTCTCAAGAGGCAATAGAAACACTTGAAAGTATTCAAGGTATCAAAGCACCCAACGTCACCCTGATAAACAATCTATTGCAAAACGGCGAGGTTTTCTTCACTCCAGTGGTTTGTGCCGGAGACCAGGGCCAGACATGGTACCTCACTTACATGGAAACATCCAAGGACCGGGCCACTTGTCTCTTCCCTCTTGAGCCCAAAAGTTATGCTGACCGTCCCCCGACTGACCACGATAGTAATGTTGCGGCGGGTAGTATGCCTGTTGTGAACTGTCTGGAGCGAGTGAAGCACCAGCTTCCCTGGATGTCCCATACATCATGTGAGAGTACCACTCGTGCCACTGGGAGAACGGGGGAGCTGGGGGTAATACTCCATGGGGCGACGAAGAATGCGGTTGGGACCGTGACGGGGGAAAGCGGTGAGTGGGAAGTGGTTGTGGTGGTGGTGCCCAACCATGCATTTGTGGTGAAATGTTTTTTCCGTAACGACGATGTGTTTCAGATTCTGTTTCCGACGGAGCAGATGGTGGAGAATAATGTGGACCAGCGGGAAACGACGGGGATGTTTGAACGGTAATCACTGCATTCATGGGAACAGAAGCCTGACGGCTGTGAAGGGTTTTAACATACTTTTCAATCTCCTGCAAGGACATCTGTATAAATGTGACAACGTCGTCTAGAGCACGGTCCGACCCCACAGATTCCACAGGCACTCTGAACTGCCGGGGCTGGAATGAATCGTGCCACCAAGGATAAGGAGCCCCCATCATCCCTTGCATGTAGTCCTCACGGCCCCCCCATCCTGCAGGGCCTCCCCACCCAGAGTACCACCTTGTCATGTCCGGATACATGGGGTTCACGAAATTATGGTACGAATGGTACGGGTACGGCATCATTTGCTCATGCTCATAGCCTGATGGAGAGAAATTTCGCGCATGCGACCTGCCAAACTCATCGCTCTGAGTGTGATCATTAACTTCTACATCACTGCTGATTTCAGAAACAGAGCTAGTGTACTGAGTTTCAAATGAATGCTTTGAGCACAAATCGGAGGTGTTACCAGACTCCACACTAGGTAACTGTCTGCCTTCATCTTCTCCATTCATCTCCCTTTGTTCTTCTAGTCCGGACTGCAAATGGGACTCAACGCTGTCTAGACTCAGTTTCTGCACTCTAGCAGACAATGAGCCTTCACAAATACTTGCAACTTCTTCTTCACTCTTTGCGTCACAAGACACTGAAACTCGATCAGAATCTGACGAATTTTCTTTGTCTCGCTCAGAATTGGAAACAAAGCAATGTCCAAGTTCTTTAGAGTCTTCAGAGCTGGTGTAAGACACTCGTGAGTCAGTCACTCTGTCATCAAACAACTCTAGAGAATTTGTGTCCTTCTCATAACTGTGAAACAAGCCTTTAATAGTTTTATTAACAGATTCCCTGACATCTAAGGCTTCTGCACTCTCTTCAGCCTTTTCTTTTATTTCATGGTCTACATTGTTGGCAAATTTCGTAGTAACAACGGTAGTACACCAAGAGCTCTCCTCAGAAAACTGTTCTTGAGATGCTGTGTCAAGACGAGGATTCCCTTCTCTTGCCTTGACTGACCCAGAATTACTTAAGTGAGAGGGAATGTGGCAATCCTGCCTTTCTATCGTTTCATTTTCATTTGGGAAATCCATAGCTTTTTCAGCCCCAACGTTCTGATTTGAAGTATCTTCTTCTGTAGTTGGCGTTGGAGTCACATTTTTGCAGCTAATATCACAGACAGTCCTGCCAATATCAGTGGAAACAATGTTATTATTTATCTTATCTGTTTTCTCATTTGCCTTGGGTTCTCTTGAGCCTCCAGCCTCCCCTCTGGTTGGATTCTGCCTCCTTCCATCTCCACAGGGAAAAGTTGAGCTTTTGCCATTAGTACGTTGGTTACTTTCTCTCTCTGCACAGGCAGTTCTACTCTGAACAGTAAGCTGCTTCCCTGAGAAGATTTGCCTTTTCTCTCCACGTTTCATTTCGTTACGAAATTTCATATTGTCTGCCTCAAAGTTATAGTTGCGGCTGTAGCCCCTCCTTGAATGTTTCGTCTTCTCAGTTCTCTGTTTATTTCTGAAATCAGCTGACTTGACTGCTTTATTGTCTTCATTATCAAAGTCTTTTCTTCGAAGGCTGGACGCACGAAGCCTTTGATAGGCAGGTAGTGGCTCAATGCTCATAAGAGACTTGGGTACCTGCACTTTACTAAGATGTTTAGTATTTGAAATGACATCTTTTGTACAATTTTGTGTTCGGTCTATGGAATTTTCATCCAAACTGTCCACTTGGTGTTGAGCTAATGGCGCACTTTTGCTCTCAGGTCTTGTATTTCCATCAGGGGCAGGCACTGCACCTTTTAGAATGTTATTTCCAAGTTTACACCCAGCGCTGCTTTTTTCAGCTTCCTGACTGGGATGCTCTGAACTAGGAATCACATTGGTATTTCCGTCTCCATAGGAAGACTGCGTCATTCCATTAGACAAACTAGTAGGTGATGACCTTGACTCACTGCCCAGAAAGCTTGGTGAGGATCTCTTAAACCTACCACGACCTCTCAGACTCATGCCTCGTGGCTTCTGACCTTGTGCGGGTGCAGTATTGCATCTTCCAATGTTCTTTAACCCTTCCCTGATGATGTCATTCGTACTACTATCCTCGGCAGACAAGACCTCTACAGAAGTGAAACGATTGTCATCACCAGACCTCTTCCTGTCCTCGCCGCCCAACTTGTTCCAAGACCCCGAAGAAGACATTGCCTGGTTCAAAGACTTTTTGAACAACAGTGATGGACCAGAACTATTTTCGTCACTCATCGTTGATGTAGACAGAGTGAGAGGCACTCATTTACCTTTATTACTCTAATAAAAGACCATTCTGGCACATCTGGGAAGTAACAAAACAGAGCATGAGCAGAAAGTTGAGAAAGGATAAAAATAAAATCACTTGATGGTTGACAAAGGAATTATTATAATATTTACAAAAAGAGTAAGTTAGGCATAAAAAGATCTGATATAATGAATACATAATGGAGGAAAATGAAAGTGATGAAAGAGTTTGGATGGCATAAAATTATTAAACTAGTTAAAAACATGATTTAACGTCTTCGCCTATTTTTGGTCTGAATAATTTACAACCTTTCAACCGCCGTGAAAGAGCATCTTATTCTAAGTCTCGAGCTCATGGTCATGTCTCGTTATGTTCGTACAAGCTCTCTGTTCCTTGAACCATATTATTGTGTGCAGAGGGGCCAGCCATCGTTAAGTGTGTAAACAACGAATGGTCCGGCCGGCGGCCGGTCCCACATCCCGCTCAGTGTCGGTAGTGAACCTTTTTTTTTACTAGAGAGGCAAAAAATGTTTTTACATTATTATATAAATACGTTCCCAACCACATGCGGCAAGCCACATTTTGGCACTCCTGTACAATTGCGGTCCTGTTAGATCTAACACTAAAGGAAGAGGCTAGCCGTACTTAATGACGGCTAGACTCCGTACTTAAGTACGGCTAGACTCACAGTCACAGTCTAGCCGTACTTATGCTTAATATGATGGCTAGACTGACCATTTACAAAAAATAGGCCTACTGAATTGTAAATATACATTTTTAGTGTGCAGTACCTAAAGTATTTGTATTTGAGACCAAACCAGGTGCCTTAATGACAGTGCATGTATTTTAAACCTCCTGTTTTCTAATGTTAATAGGGCCTAAGATAAGTACGGCTAGACTTCTTGTCTAGCCGTACTTAAGTACGGGTAGACAGCTAGGCTAGCCGTACTTAAGGACGGCTAGACTGTCAGGCTAGCCGTACTTAATATTGATGGCTGAATTGTAAATGAAATTTTTAGTTTGCAATGCCTAAAGTATTTGTATTTCAGACAAAAACAAAAGGTGCCTTACTGACTTGCATGTATTTGAACCTGAATAATTACTAGATCTAGATCTAATGAGACCTGTGTACTTAACAGGCTTGAGTCGATTGGGCCAAACCTAGATCTAAGTACGGCTAGACTGGCAGTCTAGCCGGCTAGCCACTTCGAACACTAAATCACACAAGCAAAGACTTCTGGATATCGATACCGATTTAAATATTCGGTATCGATGTTTTATCAGTAGATCTAGAACCTGGGGGGTAGCATTTCACAATGATTTGATGTTTTGGCGATTAGGATAGATATTTACTTGAAGTTTAGCCCTCAAATCAATGCATCTATGTATTGTGTGGGTGCATAAAATAAGTAAAAATTTACCCATGTTTTACATTTTACATATATTTATTATTATTCGTTCCCACAACATGCGGTAAGCCACCAAGGCCAAGGGCCTAGGTGATTTTATAAGCCTACGAGAGGTCAGGGGGGAGTCCTCGTTTCATGGCCACACCGAGACATGGGGTTTCTCACGGGGGGTGAGAATAACTTGTAGATTTCTAGCCCTAACAAAATCATGGGGGGCTTCAGGGGAGCATGCCACCCTGAATTTGACCATAATTCGATGTTTTTGCAATTAGGTTTGATTTGTTATCTCTCCATAGCCTACTAGAATCTAGATCTAGATTAGGCCTATCGATCAGCAAAGCGCATGAAAAAGTAGGCCTAGGTCTAGATTTCTCATCGTTTTGAACCAGAAGTAATAGTTGGTGGGGTCAAAATGAATATATATATTATATCTCTAAACGGGACCGCAATTGTACAGGTGTGCCCTCATGGAAAATTCATCATAGATTTATCATGTCCATGTGATTAAATAATCGTCGTGACTATTTCTCCTAACGTTCGGGAAAATAAAGTTGAACTCTATTTCTCCGCACAGTTTCCGATCTCGAGATTTTTGGGGTTATTTGCGAGATTTAGGCGTCATCCTTTCATTCTGCAATTTTGTGAGGACTGTGAAGAAGCATTTTTTGTATCAAATTCAATTTCTAGAGCTAGACCCTAGATCTAGAGACTTTTAAAAGCCTGAATATTCAGATACTTCAGTTGTGGTTGGGGCAACATTTCCGGACTATACTTCATTTGAAAATACCTTCAAAAAAATGTACTGCTCGACCTTGGCAGTTTAGTAACCTAAATTATTTTGCATTTAGTCACCCAGCAAAAACTAAAATCCTTCATTCATGTAAAAAAATCCCTCCACCCCCCACCACACCTTACACACACACTGACACACACACACATTCACACTCACAAACAACATGCACACACACTACACACACACACGGGTCACTCCATTCGCTTCAACAAATCTCGAGAACGGAAACCGTTCAGAGAAGATATCTAAAGTTCAAGTTTATTTTCCCGAACATTCTGAGAAATAGAATCTAGATCTAGATTCTAAGATTCTAGAGCCGGCCATAATTTTCAATTTAGTTATGAATTTAGAATTCATTCAACAAACCTACCTCACCAAGGAAAATTAGGCTCTCTCAGACTATGATCTCTAATCTAGAGTCTAAATTCTAAATCTAGTCTAGATATCTAGATCTAGAATAGAATGTGCAGCAGGACTCTTGAAACCTTTCAGACTCCTGATAAAGCGACATTAGGTGGGAAAGAACTTCAAAAAGATGAAAAATGGACTTCGAACAAGACTTCGTAAAGGTGTGACCTGTTGAAGTTGAAGGCTGTTTGAGTTTGGGCCATTCATTTGAAAACAACGTAAACGAGGCACGTCTTTTCAGTCTTCTAACTTCTGACGACCTCGTGCTTTTGTTAGAAAAAGATAAATCTAAAGCTATCTTGATTCTTGGGGGTACTATTCCTAGTAATTAGTAATAAAACAAGAAAACGCCATACTTGTACCAGTCTTGGAGTAAAAATCCTTCCTTCCTTTCACTTTTCAAGTATGTTGAACTTCCGCGCTGGTTTTTTCCTTGAACATCATCCCGCCGTTGGTGTTTCTTTTGTCGGAAGTTAAAATTTGGACAACGGGCCAAAGAACACTTCGATTTCAAAAAGTTGATCTAATTAATAATTGTTACCAATTTATTAACATTGCCCAAACATTATTTTGTTGGGAGTTCTGTATTTTAAAATAAATTAATAGGGAGATAAAATTAACTATGGACCTAATTTCCTCGCTATATGATTTGACACTTTTACTATAGGCCTTCGTTTATTATACGAATTGTTGTTGATTTCCGAAACAATTTTACGGGTTTGAACAACAGGAGCTGAATTCTTGTTGCGTGCTGGTAGATCTACTAGATTTCTTTGTCTCTATAATTATATACTTTTTTATTAGGCTATAATGTCTTGTGAATTTGTACTTGACCTAGCCTTTCGCAGGGACTTGTAAGAGGCAAATAAATGCTAGCCTAGGCTCGTCGGAAAATAACAGAAGTTCGGGGAGAAGGGCGGAGGGGGGGGGGGGGGGGGGGGGGGGGTTTACGTGTTCACGTGTTCACATTTATTTAGTCACACCTTTGCCAAATACAAAAGGGTACGCACCTACTTTTAAAAACACGCCTTTTAACTTTTACAGTGCCAGTGTATCTTTTTACCTAGAACAAGGGTCTCAGCTTCGCCGGCCTAGTGAGGCAGATAAAAGGTTGATACATAATTGTACTTTGTGGTCCCTACTTGATATCAAAGTTTAGTGTCAATGCTGCTCAAGTTTGACCAATATTTGTTACAAGAATTGTCCCTCTCTTTCTCTGAGCCCGCCAGGACGTTCAAGCCGACCATTTTCCTTTTTGGTAGCACGTGATACTCTTCTCCACCATGAACATTTGTATCGCTTCCTCAGAATTACAAAGTTCTATCTGCACGGTACCGTACTGAAAGCCACCTAGTTTTGAGAAATTTGACTTCAATTTTTTTTAGATTCACATCATGTCAAGCTTTTTCGAAAGCATTTCTTTGAATATGTTGGTAATGACTCCAAATAATCTTACGATTTTGATATATAGAGCAGATAAAACCTTTGGTTTCTGGCCTCATGGTCTCATGGTAACCCAATTTCGGCCAAACATGTCAAATAGAACTTTGTAATTCTAAGACGGGGTGCCCACTACGGCTGGATCGGGCTGATCGCCCGACTCGATCGCCTGAAACTGAAAACGTGTTTGTTTCTGAGGCGATCGAGTCGAGCGATCCAGCTCGATCGGCCGATCCCGTCCTATGTGGGCACCCCGTATAAGGTAGCGGTGTGTCAAAGAACAGATCAACAGATCCAAACTTCGGGATGAGCATTTTCAAGCGATACGCAGAGTCTCACCAGAGAGTCGAATTCTAGGCTCTCTGGTCTCACTATAATAATATTCCCTCAAGCCAAATGTGGTATACTGAGCTACAAAGTTAGTATAAGAGGAATGCGCTGCTATAATTTGTCTCTTATGACAGCAAGGAATATGGGAAAAGGTCTATATAATGTTCTGAACAACCGTTCACGTTCTGACCTATTAATAATTATTGAGAAGAGGTTAGATCAGCTGTAGGCTATTTAAACAAACTAAAAATTATATGCAGGCTAGGGTAATTTGAGTAGGAGACCCGATAGGCTATCTAAAATTAAAGTCTTTTTGTTTGCTCATTATATCTAACCGTCAACCGACACCGTAAGAGCATAGAATGTAGACAATTCCAATACAAACCGTGGGCCCAAATGTTTGATTTAATGGACCCGTGTTTACTATTTCACGAGAAAAGGTGTTGAAAAGGTCAAATAAGCTCGTTTTCTATACTTTATCATTTAGCTGTGACCACATGTCAGTGTTTAGTCCTCCAGCGATGTCATTTCCTCTGACTAATTCTGCCAGGGCAATTCTGCATATTATCATGTTTTCTTTTAAGCATAGGCCTAATGTATAGGCCTACGACACTTCTTTTAGAGTAATGAAAGTACATGCTTGAAAATTCCCCTGGAGAATGCAATGAATGTACCCTAAATCTGTCTATTAATCCCATTTTTCGTATTTTTCTTCCCCGTTTCCCTGTTTGATCCATGTTCACACACAAAACTAACTCACATTCAAACTCAAAGACCCCCCCCCCCCCAATACACACACAACCATACACACTCATACAGTGAATTCCCTCCGATTTTCCTTTGAAGGCGAAAAACACCACCCGCAACAACAACAACAAAAGTTTGTGTTTGTCCAAATTCCTTGTGGCCGCAAAGCTTATCGCTGATAATAGGCCGAAGCGTTCCGTACATTTTGTACCCGCAAAACAAACGTCCTAATAATATAAGTGTCGAAGATTAGAGGCGTTACAAAAGAATAATAAACACAAGAAAGACAGATGAGGTATAAGTTCTATCGTACATATATCATGCATATATTTTTCTTAGTGTATTATGAAAGTGAATGGTTAGTTGTGGGAGAGGAGTTTATTGGAAATTTATAATTTATGCATGGCCTGGTCAGAGTCGCCTCAACTGTGTCATTATCTCCTTTCTGGCACTTGGAAAAAGACAGGGGGGGGGGAGGGGGGGGAGGTCGTTAGTCCAGTTGGTATAATGCTGGATAACATAGCGGGTGGCCCTGTTTCGAATCCCCCACGAGGTGTTGTGAGCTATGGTTATTTTTTTTTTAATATTTTTTTTTGGGGGGGGGGAGGGGGGGGGGGGTTGTTTTTTCTTGTTTTTGGCTCTTCATCCATTTAGCCGATCCTTTAAGAGATAGGCGTAAAATTCAGAAGTCTCCCTTTATTAACAACATAATTTACCTCAGAGTTAAAAGGAGCGTCAAACCTGCATGAATTCATTTGTTTCCCTCGACGCACTGGATCCGCTAAAAGATGAAATAACCCGATCATAACATCTTACAAGCTTGGTTCGAATGTTGAGAAAGCAGAACTACGCAGACATATAGGCCTAGGGAGATTTAAGGTAGCAAGGGGAAGACTGGGATACTGGGCGAATACACTAATAGTTGGAACTAGGGATAAAGCTGCACGATTGAGTAGCGGTAGGGGAAGGGCAATAATGCTTGATATATAGGCACAACCAGGGAGTGCAGCGAGATGCCGCAAAACTTTTACTAAAATTTAAAAAACTATAATTCAATAATTCAAATTCTTGAGTCAATGTTGTGATTTATGCAGGCCCATTATGGGGGTTGCGGTGGCAGGAAATTTACAGCACATGTCAGCGTCATCAGCTTCTGTTTTTGCCCTTCAAGCTTTGAACTCTGAAATAGCTAAAATGCCAGGCTCTCCAAAGATACTCCGAGAAGAACGGCGAACAAACTACAGTATGTTATCTGAATTGGGTAGAGCGTCGCATTCGTGACATATTGTCTTTAATGTTAGCAGAGACAAATATGCATATATATGTAGATCTATATGGTAGTGTCGGACGACAATAATGAAGATAATTAAGATGATTTTGATTACACAACGCTTTTTGAAATCATATTAGGCCGACAATGTATTTTGTCTTGGACCTGGAATGATCAGATAATCGGGATTGAATTGTTCCTCTAGGACTTTTAGAATTAAATAAGAAAGATGACATGACCACTACTATTGTACGGTAAAAACTTCTTCGGGCGGCACTTAATAATATCTAATTATTCTAATTTATTTCTAAGTTATATGTTTAAGGTGAGGCAAGGATATCGATTGGGGAGATTAACTCGATTAAATTCCCGTCCCTAGTTCTGGTTTCAGGAGAAGATACAACCAGGTTAATATATGTAGGCCTATTACTTGTTTTATGCATTCTTAAAAACCATGATATCACTTTCCCTTTCGAGAAATTTAGATTTATAGGTCAGCTGCTCTACTTTTGCAAGTGTCTCCTCGCGTTGCCTTCCGATGTTATTTAAATATGTTGCTACCTTAGAGAATTATAAATTTCTATCTGACATTTTTGGACGTTTTGAGTTGCTAAGACCATTACGAGGTCAGAAACCAAATTAAATGTGTTATCTGCTCCTCAAAATCGCAAGATCATAGGCCTACGGAGTCATTATCAAGATACATAAAGTATTAAAAGAATTGCATTCGGAAAAGTTTGACTTGTGAAACTCAACATTTTTAAAGACAAATTTATAAAAATAGGTAGGCTACTGAGCAGCTGATGGAACTTTGTAATTATGGGATAGCGATTTGAGTGTTGCTGACGTTTACATGTACATGATCAATGGTTCAGCATTCGCGAGCCATCCTTTGTAGAAAGCTCCAGACTCATTGTTACGAGAGCGAGGGAGAGAAAGTACATCTACATTGTATTTCTATTGTCACATCTAATGATTCATCCGTCACGGTTGAGTGGCTGAAATCTAGGCTAAAAAACCCATTAAAAATTATATATTTTATATTCAGGACGAAAATGCTCCACGTTTCGGCATAATTTTCGATAATAAAATATATTTTCTCGCAGGGTTACAGATTTGTAATTGAAAAATCCCACTAATAACTGAAAACCTTCCATAGAAACAACGGTAGGAGCAATATTGTTACAACAACATTGTCTCGTTGCTTAAAAAATCAGTAGAATTATGCGAATTGTGAATAGGAAAAGAAACGACGGCGCTATGCTGGAGGCACAGAGAGTAATCTCCCGTTTGTTGGCATCGTCACTACTTCAATATGGCAGCCTCCTGTGTCTACTGGAAGTAACAAGATTGGCAGTGTAAACTTTGTGTGTATTTTCTTCAATCATCAACTGAACATTTTCTCGAGGATATTTTTAGGTCAGATGTAGGTAACGTTTATCATATTCTCCCACTAAGAGGTAGGAATACCTGTTGCTTGCCCTTGACACCGCCCACTTTTTGTTTGTTTATGCTTTCATTCCCTTGCATTTGCTAGGGGAAGTAGGCTTGTGTTGTTGGAGCAAAGCCGCTGTAAGTGTAAACAACGGAAATGGCTCTTGTTCTTTTTTTTTTTTAGCTTCCTATTAAATCATCAATTACTTTTTACCAGAGTATCATTTTACATTTATTGATTCAGTGTTGATTTTGGGTGAATTGGAATAATTGAAATTTATAAGTAGGCCTAGATTTACTACTACTAACTGTCAGTGTGTTACTATTATTAGACAGTGATAAATCACTAGGACAGTCAATGTTCGTGGTAATGATACTATACTGGTTACTCATACTCACTCTCACAAACTGTCCCAAGCAACGACTTTTTATTGTTCAAAAGACAAAAACAAAGCATATACACACTAATGAAGTGAATGGCAAGTATATAACTCAAGATGCTGACAGTTCTTTTAATTGTTGCTTTAAAAAAAATGACAG